TATTACAGCGTGTTTGGGACATAAATAGGTAAGTTTTCACCAAATTTCGTGAAAAAAAAATTTTTTGTAAAAGAAAAATAAAAAACCAAAAACTTGGTTATTTGAATTTTTCACATAAATTTTGAGGTTATGTGAAAAAAGTGTAAATACAAAAGTTGTAGATCTTTTTATTACCTACAACTTTGCCATTTAACTTTTTTCCATAAGACTTGTAGTTTTTCTGGAAATCAAGGGAAACCGTTTTTTACCCTTAAAAACTCACCCCCTACCCCTTCCCGACCTCAGATCGCCCGTAAATTATTTTTCCTTTCATTTCTGTTATATTCTCTTTCTTTTCCAATGGGTTTCATCCTACTATAATTTTTTTTGGTTTCAAAAATTATCGACCCTGGTCTATTTGGAATTGTGTTAGGAAAAATGTATCAACTCTTATTAATTTGACCAGAGTTACTTGTTAAAGTCTGTGTAAATATTACTGTTAGGTACTTCCTCTACATCGAATAAAACATGTTTCTGAAACAATTTCATAATTTATTGATATAAGGTATCGTTTTCCGCAGTTAATTTACTAATATTACTTGAAGTTGAACTTCTGATATATGTTATTAAGAGCATTACCCTTGGGACTCCACCAAAACTCAAAACTTCCGGATTTACGCGCAGCCGGACCCCTTTCTTTTCCTCCTTCCGATTTCCTATCGAAAAAACCCGGAATCTATCGCCCGGCGAAAAATAAATTATGTGAAAAGTAGAGCGCTAAACTCGACAGGAATATCTAACCTAACGGGATCAGCGGGAGCGTAAGAAATTTGCATTTAAAGTTAAGAACACCCGAATAAATAAATCCCCCAGGCAAAACGACGGGATTTAATTAAGAAATTCCGAGATTCATATCGCGTGCAGTGATTATTAAACTATGTGTCATGCAGCGCAGACATTTGTAGCTGTGGCGGTGCAAACTTGAACGCTGACACTTTATCGGGCGATCTCCAACTTTGGCGGAGGCTTTTCTTCCTTCGGGAACTATCCAACTATTTCAGATTAAGCGACAGTCGGTGCCACAAGGCAAAGGGGAAAGTTTTTCTGGCGTTGGCGGCAACAGAATAATCAGCGCTCTTTAGTGTTTACTAAAAATGGATAAGCAATTTGTTACAATTTGTTGCACTTAATGCAGCAAAAGCTTAATTATCGAATTAAAAAGTGGTTTTATTCATGGTTTATAAAATAAGGTTTTAATATTACAGCAGAAGTTGCGTTTCGTAATTTTTTTAACAATCTGAAAACAAAATTTTTCGCCGATCGACATTGAAGGCGTAATTTTTACAGCAGTTAGTCACTAAAGTGTCACATTATAAATAGCTTTGTTTGCTAATATACCCCGTGAAAATTCCGATTTCCAGCTGTCGGACTGAAAAAAACGCGGCTTGAAATTTGTCGGACAACAATTCTTTTTGACTGAATTAATTATTTACAATTAATTTTTACTAAAAAGACCTATGTGGTAATCGATTTTCAATAACCTGCCATTTTGGCATGTTTTGACCGGTAGACACGTCAATGTCGGAAGAATTTCTGTCGGACAAATTTAAATCGCCATTTGCAACAAAATATCCAGTAACTTATGCTAAAAAAAAAGATGTGGTCTTGACTTTTCAAGACCCCGGAAAATTGCCATGTTTTTTAACTTTTCCCAGTGGAAAAGCGGAGGAATCGAGAAAAGTTGCAGAGGAAAAGTGTGGTAGACTCGTCAAAACGAAGCTCCTCACGAGTTATAAATATATGGTAATAAACTATCCAGGGGGAGCCTGTACTGTAGACTATAAAATTGATTTGCGAAAAAATTATGTGTTTAACTTGACAGTAAAACAGATTTAATGCCTTGGCTGCTTTAATAGACAAGGCGTAGCCCTATAGTTGTTACGATATCAATTGGAATCTGGAAATCTTAATGCACAGGACCGTCTGCACTTCTCTTGAAATTTCTTCCTATGCTTTAGCCATGATGTATCTCGTAATTTATACTTGAATAGTCATTGGGCGAGTCCGGTGTTGGTAGACCAGTCCGCCTGATGTAGAATCGACAGCGGCGCGCTAGTCGTCAAAGCAAATCTGTACTGGTCCATTAGGTCGTAAATAATTTTTTGCATGGTTTTCTATAATTAATTTGGTACCGAACGCGGTTCACTTGGCTTGCTAGTGCAGTGAAGGGCGGTGCTTGGCGTGGTATATTTATTGTTGGTATAATACGTATTATTAATTATTAGTTAATATTATTATTTGTTCTTATCGTAACCAGTAAAAGATAATAGTTATTAAAATAAATATTATATATAATTATCTAGTAATTTAGCTTAGCTTTCTGGAGACCCGAAATATAACGAAATAACCCAGGAAAATCCATAAATAGTCGATCCGGTTTTTGTCGAAAGCGTCGAAACAGACTTAGTGTTTAAAACCAAAGATTTACGTAAAAGTCAACGTATTATTTTAAATATGAATGTTTGAAAAGAGAAAATAGTGAACAATGTGATAAAGAAATTAGGAAACGGATTAGCGAATTATCTAAAATATCAAAAACAACAATTTATCGCGTAATTAAAGGAGACGACAAAATTAAAGAATATTGACGATTTTACCAGAGATGCAATACGACGCACAATTTATAATATGTATAAAGAAAATAAAGTTCCTACTTTAAACATGATTCGAGATAAATTAAGCGATTATCCTGATAATAATTATAAATCTTTATACAGGGTGATTCACAACTTATTCAAAAAAATTTGGGAATAGATGCAGCATGAGAAATGGAATCAATATCGTAAATAAAATTTTTGTAAAATCCTTATAGTTTCCGAGAAAAAAATATTGAAGTTATAGTACATTCAACCACTACATAGCTGGACAACTGTAGTCTCTAGCGTCATTCGCCTAGTGGCCTCAGCGACTCCGAATACTGAATTTGGATTCTGAAATCGTCGTTGCGATATTTATCTGTTATATGTGGTGTTTACAATAGGTTTTTAGCAGTTAGTGCCAAAAATGGGTAGTTACTGTCAAAAATGGTTTGCGTGTACTCGGAGTTGATGGATATCGTTTTAATTTATGGTGAAGCATTAGTGTTATGGTGAAACAACACAACATTTGTGTTAGTTCGTAGAAACTGAGTACAACGGACCCAAATGTGTTTACACATTGGTGGATAAAATTTTGAACAATTGTTGCAACATCGGATATGTTAAATGATTTTATTATTTAAAAACACAAATTAATTTTATTAATTAATAAAGGCAAAAGCAGTTTAATTTGCCGATATAAAATAGGTGCGATAAAATTCTATTTACATATTTCTTTCCTTGCGAAAGTTTTTGTCCGTTTTTATCACACAGGTTTTACAGTGGACCAGTTTCCAGTGCCGTGCAGAAGTGTATTTTTAAATCATTTTCGAACTGTTCTTTTTGATTTTTTCTTTACAAAATTGTATTTGTAAGGGTTCCCTGTACATCCAGAATTTTTTTTGGATAAGTTCTGAATCACCCTGTATACTTTACGATATGTTTTATTACAATGCGGTTTTAAACATAAAAAGCTTGACAATCGTATGGTAATTATGGAATCACGACGTATAGTTGCACTTCGGGAAGATTATTTTCAAAAAATTAGAGAATATTGTCCACGAAATATGACGAAATTGGTATTATTATAGGCACTAATCGAAATTTTAAGCCCTTCTTGATGCTGCCGGGAAATTCTTATGTACTGCAAAAGTACTTCATTGGATGTGGAACCAGTAAGTGTAGATGTATCAGCAGATGCAGACAACGATAACAAATTGGCTGTCTCGTTTTCACTAGCTAGTGATGACTCGACGTACCTCTTTGCCACAGCATTGCGTTTACATTCGCCTAGCCGCTTCAATTGCAAAACATTGCAGTACATCTAAAGGCATGCACAGTAAATGGCTATTTTCCGAATTTCAAAAAGGAAACTAATTTTTTAGGAAAAGCTGCTATTGAATTATACCCTAAAACTTGATTGCATAGCTTGTCATGTCTCTACTGCATAAAAAATCTTTGGTTTTCCACAGATTTACGCTAATCAACATATTTTTGAACCATATTCACCCAATGTTGCTCTATAATCATAAAATATCTATTTCTATGAGTTTTGGTATCCGGAATTTCGATCACAATCTTCTCATCTAGAATATTCATGTCATGACCTTCATTTTCAGGAGTCACTTCTACATGCACCAGAAACTGCAATAATAAGTGCAACCTATAACAATAAAAATATCAGTAAATACTTCTTATATTTTTGACAATCAAAAAGTCTTGTGATATTATTTTGCACGTAAAAAATAAGACAAAATTCTGCTTACTTTGATAGACAGAAATTTCTCAGGCGCTTTGGACAAAAATCATCAACATTTTGTCTTGAAAACACACTCGATTTCTTCGATTTGAAGCCTGCATTTTGTCACTTCAAAAACATCGTCAGCTTTGCATATTTCGAAATATCCTTATCGTGGTCTATCATGGTCCTTACCATGCTGTAGGTAGCTCAGAGCGTGGATGTTTTTTGTCTTTGGACATCTCGCCAAAGTACGCCAACAGAGTAGTTTTTGCTCCAAAATGTGTCGCGTTTTTACAATGAAATTTCGGTCAGTGCGGAATACATTCATTTTTTGCATAATAATAATTATATTGAAACACATTTTAAATGTTGTTCAGAAATTCGTGGTGGAAAATAAAATAGTACACTATTCTCGATGGGAACTCGAGGTTTTGTTATAATACCTCGACAGTAATGAAATATTTTCTATCTCGTATTCGTATACTATAATATGTTGTTTTTGTTTGTCATTATTATTCAGTGTTCTTATCATATTATCCCTTATTTTAAATAAATATACCGAGCGTCCCATTTAAAATACTTTGAATACAGGCATGCCTCTTCATTACTACAAGATAGAAAAAAAATATAAAAAAACGATTTACTTGTATGGAATATGTTTTCCAGTGTCTGGATCTATATATTCCTTGGCCAAACCGAAATCGACTATGTAGATGATCTTGTCCTTTTTGGTCCTAGACCGTCCGATGAGGAAGTTTTCAGGTTTTATATCTCTGAAGATGAGTCTCTTGCTGTGAACGTATTCTATTCTGGTGATCAGCTGGTCAGCTATCATCAGCACGGTTTTCAGACGAAAACGACGACTGCACAGACAAAATAAATCCTCTAGACTAGGTCCTAGCAACTCCATCACCATGGCGTTGTACCTTCCTCCGCAGGTGCCCAGGTGGTACACTTTGGCAATCCCTGGAAAATAAATTACCGATGATAAAACGTCAGGAAAATGTTCCTTTTTACTTTTTTTTACTTTGTTTGGTTATGCTTAGTTTAGTTATTTATGCAAACTATAAAGTGTAATAAAAGTTCCACCGCGACCTCTGCGCGCAGGGGTGGTCCGATCGAAGTGATTTTGGTGTCGTTGCGAAGGTTGGATCTTTCTCCGACGAATAGAAGTAATTCGGACATTCCTCAAGTATGCGGGTGGCAATGGAGAGGAAAATTATGAACTTTTACGTTTTAGCTATTTCTATTAGAAATAAATAAATGAATTTGGAGTGAAATCTAAGTTATCCAAGGCACGTAAAGTAGGGGAAGAGTTTGTGTGTAGAGACGGTTTAGGAAATGTAAAGCAACATTTTTTTCTACTTAGTACATTTTCAGAGACTGGGAACATATTAAGTTTAATGTCATCTAGCAGCTAGCTCAATTTTTACGGTTCTAATTCATTTACGAATCACCGTATATTGAAAAATAAATTTAAGAACTAGTAAATAAAGTTTATAAAATCATACTTTACTTCTAGGATGACATACTTTAATAGTCGCAGAAAATTTATCTTTTGATATTTTAAAAATTGTCAACCGTATATAATAAAATATAAACAGTGTAAAGAGTAGATAAAGGTCATTTCGCAATTACCTACTTTATTACCAATTTCAATTTTACAGTGAGATGGGCAGTTGAAAAATCTGTGTTCTGCTTTCATATTAAAGGAAATGATTTGGAATAAAAATGTGGCAATATATACTCGTAAATAGCCAAGTAAATGCTATACAACGGAAAATGCATTTAGTAATATAAAAATATGACAATAATTTTAAAGTATTGCTCAACAATGAAAACGGGTTGTTCTTTCGTGTAGCGCTCCATTTTTAATGACCCTGAACTGTCAGCTGTCACGCTGCCTTGTCTTTTTTTTCGTTGACAACACTGTACCGGACAAATTAGTCCAATCACTGAAGACGAAAATAAAGTAAAAGCTCCCAATTTTTCCGGATAGCATGTATTTTCCTGAAAATTTGCATACAAGCTCATCTGACCCCCCACTTCAAAAGTTATATTGTATAGATATGTGCTTTTTTCTATTTAGGGGTACGAAAAAAAATGCGAAAATCACAGATTTACGTATTTTAAAGATTCAATTCATGTCAAATTTGTTGGATAAAAGTTCTTTTATGTTTTTTAATATAATTTTTGAAATATAATTACTTTTCAACCCTTAAAAATCCTTAAAAACTAACTTTCTATGGCCAAAAAAATATAAAAAAAGTTTTAATTAGTTTACAATATTCTTTTGGTGCATTCACAATGTATTATATTGCTTTTGTTATTCATTAGAAAGCTCATTACAAAGTTGCAACCCTTAAAAACCACCCCTTATAATAAAATAAAATATTATTGAAAGCTTGAGATGTTTTAATGGTATTCATATGTTGAATTATAAACTTTTTATTAGTTTTCAAATAATGATCTATGATATATTGCAACTTTTCAGCCACCCAAAAAACCCTTATGGAAGACCTATCACTCATAAAAAACCCTACCCCTTATAGAAAAATTTCCTAAAAATTATATGTGAGTATGATGATATTATAATTATTTTTTTTTAATTTTATTGAATTTATTCTTAATATTTTTTTATTAAATTAATATCAAATAAAAAAAAACTTATATATATTGTAAATGGATACGTGTGTATGTATATTATTAAAATACTTCCTCAAATCAGTTCACAAGTGCTCCAAAATAAATAATGATGATGATAATTTACCCGCACCGAAAATTTTACCGAAAAATGCGATTCATTTTTTTACCAGAACTTTTGTAATTTTAAAGTTATAAATTTACTCAAAAAACCATTTTGTAGGGAATCTAAAGCACTTTAAGTTCTGTGATTTGCAGTTTTTTGAGCCCTTCGTTTTTTAGATTTGTAAGCTAAAAGGGCTTAGGATAGGCAGTCTTGGAGCTTAGTTTTGAGCTTCTAACAGTCATAACTCAGTCAAATGTCCTACAAAAATTTAAAAAAGGCAAATTGTTCAGTTAGAAAAAACTTACAGTTTCTATCATTTTTTTATAACCTTGTTAGAAATATTTTGAAATAAAAATTTTATTCAAAAGTAAATGAATTTTTTTTTTATTTAGGCTTCTAAAATCGTTTCCCAGAATCTACTGTTAATACATAAATAAAGTAAATTGCCGAAGGAATACGTTTATTTTTTTTCCGTCAAGTCATTAATTTTAATACCGATTTGTTTTTTCTCAAAAATCAAGCCAAAATTTTATTTTGATTGTAACTTCATTAGTTTTCATGCTAACGACTTCTAACGCTACTCAATTGAAAGTCCTTTCCAAGAACTTTAATAGGTGTAATATAAGTTTTCCCCGAAAAACCTTTAATTTTCCCGCTACAGGACGTTGAACGTTTCGATTATAGCTATCTTCGAAATTGACTTCAATTTCTGGGAGTCATAACTCGGGTTCTATACCATCTACAAAAATAAAAAAAAGCAATCTCTTTACTATTTAATTACCTTCATTTTTGCTTATGACCATTTTTTTTGATAAAACTTGTAGTTTTTGAGATATTCGCGAAATATGGCTCAAAAATATGCATTTTTTGGGCTAAAAACGAACATGTTTAGGCGCAAATGACTCAAAAAGTATTGACTGTACAAAAAATTCTTATAGAACATTTTTTGCTTAGCCCTTTGTGGACCGGTGGTTCTATATCGATACCACCTTTTCATGGATTTTTATGACTCACTGGTAGCTCTAAGTGACCACCAGACTATGTATACCGACACGCCATCTGTTGTAAAAAAAATAGTTCACAGGAGGAACATGATCAGTGTGCAGAGTGTGGTAGTGAAGTACATGACACAGTGCGTGCTTGTTGCTAATGTGTTTACTAATAGATAATTCGGAAATATCAGGGTTAATATGGGAGGTAAGTGTTTTAAATGATTGGTAATAGTAATAATAGTTGAGTAAACATGTCATATTCAGCATTCTTGTAGAAAAATAACCTCAATTTTACGTCATTATTTGGGGGTTCTTGCAGGGACCACTATTCCTTACAAGTTCAAATGAATGTTTGTCCATGTTTTTCATGACAAAATATGTTTTTTATAAGAAGCAAAACCAGTTTTTTTGCACAGCTTTTATTTACAGACAAATTGCGATAATTTATTACAAGGAGCAAATAGGATTTTGATAGTCTTGAGAATCTCAGTAGTGACGAATTCAATACTCTAGTTGCGGAAATTCCTTCTGATGTCGAATCAAACGCCAGCGACTATGTATCTGATGTTGACGAAGAACAAAGTGTCCTAACACTAACTAACCCTAATGAGGAAATTCCAGAACAGAATGAGGTAGTACATGATAAAGAAGAGTCATCCTTTGAAAGCAATGAAAGTAGTTCTTCTAATAATAATATTGAAGTTTTTGATGAAGGAATTCTGGATGAAGAAAATATTCCTTTGATAAGTTTTATACCAGATGTAAGAGAGAAAATCATTTGGCGGCGTAATTTTGCCCCTGCTGCTGTTCCACATTTTGCAGAGGAATATGGACCTATTTCTGAGTGTGAAACACCGCTAGAAATATTTACACAGCTATTTACAGACAATTTGTTTGAACACTTAGTATTTCAAACAGACCTCTATGCCACGCAATCCAACAAAACATACTTACCGACCACTAAAGAAGAAATTAAGGCTTTTATTGGTATAAATATTATGATGGGATTGAAGCTGCTTCCCAGTTACAAAGACTACTGGTCTTCTTTACCTGAGATTAGAGATAACTATATAAGTTCAGTGATGCCGCGAGTTCGTTTTAGCTGGATTCTAGGAAACCTTCATGTTAACGATAATTCAGTGCAGCCCAAAAAAGGTGAACCAGGCTGCAATAAGTTGTATAAAATCCAGCCTATGTTGGAAACTTTATCTGAAACTTTCAAACAGTCTTGGGCTCCAGGAGAACATCAGTCAATAGATGAATCTATGATTAAATTTAAGGGTCGCGTGAGTATCAAGCAGTATATGCCTAAGAAACCAGTAAAAAGGGGGTACAAAGTTTGGGTAATTGCAGATAGTACTACAGGATTTATTGACCAGTTCCAAATTTACACGGGGAAAAAAGGTGATCTTACAGAAAAGTATCTGGGAGAACGTGTGGTGATGGATTTGACGAGAGACCTTGTGAATAAAAACCACAAAATATATTTTGACAACTTTTTTAATTCCATACCTCTATTGATCCATCTTCAAGAAGAACATATTTATGGATGTGGAACCATGCGCCAGAACAGGAAATATATTCCAAAACTAGCAGCGGACAAGGATATGCATAAAGGAGATATTGATTACAGTATACTGAAGAATGGAGTAGTTTGTATGAAGTGGAAGGATAATCGTAGCGTATTGATGGGGTCTAATTTTCGTGATCCATCTATAGTAGAATTAGTAAGAAGAAAACAGAAGGTTGATAATAGAATTGAAATAGTGGAAATTCCATGTCCACAAATTATAAAAAAATTACAACCGATACATGGGAGGGGTTGATAAAGCGGACATGCTCAAATCACTTTATGAAATAGATCGTAAAAGTAAGAAATGGTGGCACAGAATATTTTTTTATTTTTTGGACTTATGTGTTGTAAATTCCTATATTATTTTCAAGTCAAAATCTGAAGGGGCCTGTGTAACATTGAAGCAATTTAGAACCTCTGTGGCCACTGGACTGATTGGTGCTAAAGCAAAAACTCCAAAAAGGGGCAAACCTGCATGTAGCAAGCCTCCAAACAACTATAAAATCTCGGTTTTACCAGAAAAACGATATGACCAAAATGCTCACATGCCGGATTTCGCAACTAAAAGGTGTCACTACTGCAGCACAAAAAAAAATGTGCACCGCACAAATATTATTTGCCAGTCTTGTAATGTACCACTATGTCTACAGAAAGAACGAAATTGCTTCAAGTTGCATCACGAATCTTGATTTTGAAAAGGAAATAGAAAAAGGCTCAGTGGTTCTCACGGTAGACCACCATTTTTTGAAAATTTTGAATGCAAAAATTTATGTTTCTTGGCTTTTGTCAGCTTTTTGTACTATTTTAAAATAAAATTTCCAAAGCAGTTTGTATTTTTAATTTATATCCATAATTCGGTCCTCAAAGGGTTAGAATTCGCCCCTCTATCGAATCGTGAAGTTATTTTTAATTAAAAAAAACATCCTCCAGAAGGGTAAAAGCACACATCGGCATTATATAACTTTTGTTTCTTGGGCTATTCCCTAGCTACAATTCAAATTTCTCGTCAATCCATTCCATCCGAAAAAATTGGTAGTCAAAATGCTTCAGTAACTGGAATAAATAGAGCAAAATTTTGCGTGAATTTTGAAGTAAATCGAAATTGGAAAAAGAACTTTTCATTCATGGAATTGCGGTTTTCAATTATTTTTCTCTTTTGTTTAATTTCCCGATTAGTACCTAAAAATTCTTTGAGGCGACTGTTGCGCGGTATATTTAATTTACTTACTGTTTTTGCTGTACTATATACGTTAATTTAGCTACCCTACTTGTCTATGCAAAGCTCAGAAAGAGGAACAAAGTCGCCCTCAAGTTTGGGTATACCGATGGACAAATAGCCGTCGTGTCCGAGATAACTGCCAGCCATTAAACTGGGCAGCTTCAAATGCAAATCTTTGTTTTTGGAGTGGCTGAAACAACAGCACCTTCCTGCAACGGGAAGCAAAAACACTGCATACATCTACTTCAATGGGCAGCCGAAGCTGTTATCTAGTGCTACACTATGTAAAAATAACTACTACACTATGTAAATCCTGTACTGTGTGTTTCAATCTGGAAAGTAATTTAAATCTGGAAAAATACAAGAAAAACCTAAATAACATTTATAAATTATTAAAGTTTATTATTTTTATCATCGTGTATGAAATAATAATAACACTCAGTACGTGAAATATGTAACTTTATATACTAGTACACTAGTGTATAAATAGTGTACACACTAGTGCAGCAGTGGTTTGTTTGCCACAGTGATAGTACTGACAGCTATCGCGTTATATTATGTCACCTCGTTGTTCATTTAACTTTATTTGTTGTTCGCGTTACTTGATAGTTGAGTACGACATGTCCGAAAGAGTTGTTTTAAATTATATATTTTCAGAAAGGAAATAAAAATAGAGGTATTTTCTTTTGAAAATGGACAATAAAAGTGATTTATCCCTATAAAAGAATATGGTAGATATTATGTTTTTAGCGATATCTTAAAAGTTTTTATAAATATCTTAATCATATTTCAAACTTAAACTTAAAGCATCTCAGCTTAAGAACAGTTTTTCATTCCGGACTATTTTATTTTTACATAGTTTTTACACATATACAGAGTGTTCTACAAGCTCTATGACAAACTTTGACAGATGGCGTCTGGGTTAATTTCAAACATTTTTTCTTATATGAACATAGGTCCAATTCGCTTTTGTTTAGAAGTTACAAACATTTTAGAAAATAAATAAATATGATCGTTGCTATAACAATAATTATTATTTGTGTTTGGAGTTGTAGAGCACCCTGTATATCTATGGGTTATCGAGGAATATGGTATTCTTTTTTAATTTTGATAAATTTAACCGTTTTTGATAAATTCATACGGGGGTGTATTTGTAAAATTAAATTACATCAATTACAAAAACATATTGATATATTGAATATTTTAAATCTATAAAACAAGCACTTCATTTATCTTATCGCAATGTAATTCTATTTTGAATATTTTTTTGAAATTCTACTGTAATATCTAAAGCTCGGGGTTTTCTTCGGCTAGTCATAGGCGTGTTCGTCGTAAACAAATAAATAAACAGGTAGGTATAAATAAAAATAAATACATTTGCGTACTTTATTAGCGCGTTCGACATTATTAGAATATTAAAAAAAGGTATACACAAAGCAAACGTGAAGCCAATAACTGCTGTTATTATCGGTTTCGTACGGTGCGCTATAGAGAAACGCCGACACGACGGCTATGATCATACGACCGAGTCCCGAGCTCTAGTAATATCTAACTAGAGATCAATATGTATTTGTCAGTAGTTTTTACAGTTTGGTTACATGAAAAAATTATTTATTTTAATTTAACGTCCAGTTCTTCGACGTTTAAAATATGAATAAGATATCTCGAAAAACTTTCCAGATATCGCAATAAACAACCATTCCTTTTTTCTGTCAATTTTCTGAAAAAAGTTGATATAAAAGGGTAGTCTTATTTTACAGTACAATTCGGCATGAAAATATCAAGAGACAATTTAGGGACACCATGTTTGTACACAGGGTGTTTGCAAAAGGAAGGGTCAAATTTAATCATTATATTCGATGATGAACATTAGTAGGGGTAGTATTTATAAAAGTTTGTCAATACATGCTTCATTTCCAAAATATGGAGTGGTGAGTTAAAAAAAAATAGATACAGGGTGATTCAATAACAATGGGATAGTCGAAAGCTGAAGATACTACACGTGAAATGGTGACCATTGACGCAAACATGCCTTATTCGAAAGTTGATAGTTTCGGAAATACAGGGTGTTGAAAGTTAAAATTTTAAATCGTTTTTTTGCGATTATTCTGAAAATATGTAGGTTAGGAACTTGAAAATTTGTGAAACTATATTTTTTTAAGCGACGAATAAGATGCGTGTTGTAATTTCAGCATTGCTCATAGAGGGCGTCACTTATGACCAATTTTACCGAAAATTTAGTTAATAACTTTTTACCCTGTATATTTAACATGAAACTTGATTCCAAACCTGAAAGAGCTATCATTTTTCCATTAATTGTGTACTCTTGTTTCATTTCGGTATCTCGATCCGTTTCCGAGAAAAATCGATTTAACGAACACTATGTTTTGATAATATGAGAAATTAAAAGCGAAACAAACCAAGTGTTTCTTCGTGTTATTACAACAATTAACAATAAAACAAATAAAATACGTAATTATGATTTAAAGTAATTGTTCGAAGAATCCACCGTTGACACTGATACACTTTACACGTTTTCTGAGAGATCTTCGAGTTTGAAACAACATATTGGGATTGCGTCTGACTTCGTTGGCAGCGATTTGTATTCTTTGCCACAACTCTTCACACGAGCCAATAGATTCTTTGTAAACTATATCTTTCATTCGAGACCAAATAGAAAAATCAAGAGGATTGAAGTCCGGACTTCTGGATGGCCAAGCAAAAATGCTTACATGGCCAATCCAGCGATTTGGAAAAACTGCATCTAAATATGCACGCACTGGCCAAGAAAAATGCGGTGGAGCTCCGTCGTGCATGAACCACATGTCTCTTCTTAAATAAAGTGGAACTTCTTCAAGCCGTGGAAGCATTTTTACTTGGCCACCCAGAAGTCCGGACTTCAATCCTCTTCATTTTTCTATTTGGAAGAATCTATTGGTTCGTGTGAAGAGTTGTGGCAAAGAATACAAATCGCTGCCAACGAAGTCAAACGCAATCCCAATATGTTGTTTCAAACTCGAAGATCTCTCAGAAAACGTTGTGTAAAGTGTGTAAATGTCAACGGTGGATTCTTCGAACACTGACTTTAAATTGTTATTACGAATTTCATTTGTTTTATTGTTAATTGTTGTAATAACACGAAGAAACACTTGGTTTGTTTCGCTTTTAATTTATCGTATTATCAAAACATAGTGTTCGTTAAATCGATTTTTCTCGAAAACGGATCGAGATAGCGAAATGCAACAAGAATACACAATTAATGGAAAAATGATTGCTCTTTCAGGTTTTGTATCAAGTTTGATGTTAGACATACAGGGCAAAAAGTTATTAACTAAATTTTCGGTAAAATTGGTCGTATGTGACGCCCTCTATGAGCAATGCTGAAATACAGCACGCATCTTATTCGTCGCCTAAAAAACATAGTTTCACAAATTTTCAAGTTCCTAACCTACATATTTTCTGAATAAGCGCAAAAAACGATTTAAAATTTTAATTTTCAGCACCCTGTATTTCCGAAACTATCAACTTTCGGAAAAGGCATGTTTGCGCCAATGGCCACCATTCCACGTGTAGTATCTTCAGCTTTCGATTTTCCCATTGTTAATGAATCACCCTGTATAAATGGAAATAAATTTTATACAGGATGTTTTTAAAAAGTACATATAACTTATGATTTTTTAATGAGATTCCAGTGTTTTAAGATTTGATGGTAAAACAGGGATATTGAATACCTACAGTATGTTAGAGAGTTCCAAACCACTATCCTCCACATTTTACCCCCTCCACTACTTTTTCTGAAGCCTCGCCCACTTTTACAACGACGGGTCTATCAGATTTTCAAGTCTTTTGGAAACGAAACGTTTATCAATAAATTTTTGTGTGAACTATCCCCCTCAATTTTAGTCCTAGGATCCAGTGGAGAACATATTTTTTTTGCAAACACCTACTTACACAGATACTTTATTGTCAGTATTAAATTAAAAATGGATGGGATGGGTACTACCTTCCTGTTGTCCAAGCACTTTGTAAAATCTATACTCCAAATGCAACTGTGGTGCCTTAGACTTGAGCGGTTCCAGCTTTATAGCCACGTGCTCGTTATTGTACAAGTTTTTGCCGAGTCTTAGCTCCCCAAAATTGCCGCTGCCTATCTTCTTCCCAACCCTAAAATTGGGTCCAACCATTAAAACACCAGATGATGAAGAATGCCTCGACTGCATGTTTGAGTTTCCTATTATATTATGATTTTCTAAAATTCATAAAAAAAACACTCGTTTAATTACCGGCAGTACTGCAGGGAAGCTTTAATTTGACTTCGGGACAGGATTTTTGCTATGTACGGTACTTTCATCATCTTGAAGAATTTAATTCAAATATAACTCGAATTTGGCATACCTTGGGATCTTGGTAATTGGTCCTTTAAAATCTCCCTTTCTTTATCCGGTTTGTTAATAAACTTCAATTTGAAAAAATTCATTTTATCAAATCATTTATTTCAACATTGGACTGTCCTGAAAACGATTCAGTATATAACCCTACACAATTTGGAACGTGGGACATACTAACCAGTAAGGACTGTCCAACTAGTATTATTAGGTACGGTATTACTTCCTTCCCATATTTTCAGGACGATATGCAGGATGAAGCGTTTGATAAATATGATAACAAATTACGGATACCAGAAATTTTGACAATACTACGTTTGCGTGACATTGTCAAAATTGCAGCTTTTGACAAGCGAATATATTTAGTAGTTTCCGACTGTAAATTATAAAATTCCATGAAAATATGGTTGATAGCTGCATTTTTCTCTTAACCAAATCCTCATGTAGTGAAGATGATTTTTTCTTACAGATTTAACTAATTTTACTAAACAAATACATTTCGTCTATCTTATTTAAATTCTATTTGTTATTTTTAACAAATCTGTTCATTTGGTGAAAAATCATTGCTACTATTATAAAATTTATTTTAAGATAAGGTATTTAGGTAAGTGTAGTATCTGACAACTATCTCCAATAGTCCTCAGGAAAACCGAATTCTCAGAAAGGAGTAAATGAGTTTGATAAACACCTTGCAGATGGGGCCGAACCTTGTAAAAAAATATATAGGGTGTTGCGAAAGTCCGTCAGGAAACTCTGTTATATTATAGAGGGTGCTAATAGTAGTTGCACCATATCTTAGTTAATAGACGACTTTTTTTCAAAGCGATATATTTTAATTAATTTCAAACCTAAGAAACTAAATCTAAATGGCAGTGTTAATACAGTTTACAGTTTATTTTATAGCAGTTCCTATGGGCCAAGCCTAAATAAAAGTATTAAAAAAGGCAAATAAAAATTTTGTAAATCGATTTTTATCAGATCTAATTGAATTACCACTTTGAAAAAAAAATGTAATAATTGTCTATGTCTTACCTAACAGCATGCTAAATTTCATTAAAATCCAAGAAGTGCAAAAAAATTTAAGGTGACTAGACCACCTTACGTTGACGCTTTTAATTTGCATTATATTTCAATAATCTTTGGAAAAATTCCGTTTTGACAGCTCATAAAAAGTAGGCTTTCGACAAGACATAGACAAAGACAAAGACATAGACATAGACATAGACAATTATTACATATTTTCTTCAAATTCTTCAATTAGATCTAATAGAAATCGATTTACAAAAATTTTTATTTGCCTTTTTTAATACTTTTATTTAGGCTTGGCCCATAGGAACTGCTATAAAATAAACTGTAAAGTGTACCATAACACTGCCATTTAGATTTACTTTCTTAACTTTGAAATTAACTAAGATACGCTGAAAAAAGTCATCCCAAATTGGCTCCTAAATTAACTAAGATATAGAGCTAATATCTATTCGATTAACTACTATTAGCGCCCTCTACAATATAACGGTTACAATCTAGGTTTCTATTGGGGGCAGTTTCGCCATGGCAGTACGGCTAGACCCTTTAAACTTTATTGAAAAGAGAAATAATATTAGAAAAAATTATGTACTCTTAATTCAAGACGATAAATATAACCGTTTAGTAGGAAATCGCTATTATTCGCTATTAAAGTGTTACTAAACATCAAATTTTTGATAACTTTTTCTGCATCCATGCTGTAAAACCTCTTGTAAAACCAGCTTCGTTAGTAAATAAAATATTATTAGTAAATTCATTATCCTCAGCTTATTTTTCCACAACTCTATAACAGAGCCGAACGAAATATTATGGTGAGAAATCAAATTCATACCTGCTTTAAACAACTTTTATTACAATTCGTAACACCAAAATTACTAGTGATATTTATTTGAAGTATGACAACTTGATTACAGAAAGAATTCTCAAAAATTTGATGTTTAATAACACATTAATAACGATTTCCTGGTAAACGGTTACATTTATCGGCTTGAACAAAGAGTACATAATTTTTTCTGACATTGTCTCTCTTTTCAATAATGTTTAAATTTCTGTGATGTATAGCAAGAGAAAAAAAGTTATGATGAAAACAAATTTTGAGTTCAAGGTAAAGTGCGCTCTAGCGGTGCATAATGAAACATTTCTCTGACTGGTCCAGTAGAGCTTTACCTACTTAGTGGGTGTTCCAAATGAGAGACTAATCGAACTGGAATTAAATAAGTTATTTAAATAGAAAAATAAAAAAATTGAACTTTGACAAGCTGTAACTTGCAAACAATTAATTGACAATTCGAACATTTTTTTAATTACATACTGCTATTATTTTAATCCGTAGAATCACCTTCCGGAGTTACTTGACGGACTTTCAGAACACCCCGTATAGTTAATTTTATTCATAAATATTCCTCATTAAAAGCAAGTATTTCAGTCTACTTAGTTTCTAGTCATAAAAAATATATTTCTTTGCATTGGCAGCAATAATTATTTAACACATATTTGTATAAATAAAAATAAAACTTATTTTTTCTAGGGTTTCAGACAAAAATCATGATCCCACCCTGCCCCCTTTTGACTACGGCCCTGAGTTATATTGGTATAATTCATTTGCAATTACAGTAGCTCACACTTTAATATGAGGCTCCTCAATTTGGTGTGCAATATATCTGGTACTGATTGTTGGATTTTCTTTAACGACAGTATAAAATATTTTTTTCGACTTGTAACTTTCTGTGTGCCTAGGTCTTACAGCAAGTCTGCTATGATTTTTATGTAGGTGTCCTATTTCTGAAGCCCTAGGAAGAACATGGACACACCTACGCGATATAGGATGAAATTAGCTTCAAATTGGTGTGCTATGGCTGCACTTTGATGATACTCTCCGTAAACTAATAACACGATTATTATACTATGATAAAGTCATCATTTTCTAAATATTTTGTTTAACTTTTAGCCCCATTCATTTCAGACAAACAAAGTTGTAGTTTGTTATAAAGATAATAAGCTAATTCAAGAATATTCTAAAAATCTTTACCTAAAGAAACCTATCAAATGACGTGAAACAATGTTGTTCTATATAAAAAATCTCAGTATGCAAAAGATATACTTTTGAAAAATAGCCATGATACAAAGTTCTTATTATTTCTACATTTTACTAGAATTGAATTAGCTTAATATCTTTATAATAAATTAAAAAAAGGATGTTATAAGGACATTTTAAATGCTCAAACTCATTTGTAAGTATTAGCATTAATGCGACAAACAAAGCTGCTACAAATTATCAAAATACAATTAGTAAAGACTTACTGAAAACGATAAAACTACGTTTTAATGATCGTTCTTATTTTCTGCCTAAATTGAGGAAATTAATTAAAAGTTTTAATTTCCATAAAAATGTAATTCAAATCTCTCGCATATCGAATAAGACAGCTTCCGACTATTTTATGTACATTTTCCTAGATTCCAATAAAAAAACGAGGAGCTATTCTGGATTTATTCATAAATTTATGTGCATTTCTTTCAGATCGTTTATTTTTACCCCGTTCTCTTCCCTAGCGTTTCAAACGATCTTTCAGCAAACACTTTGAAAGTTTTATTATTATGTATGTTTTATTAAAATTACTTTGAAAGTGTACCGTTTTGATTTTCGCTCCTAGGCAGCAGGGAACTTTAATAATGTCGATAATTAGCAAATAAAGTAAAACTCGGGAATCTGTATTTGTGTTGTTAACAACTGCACTAGAGACGTAACTTGTTACAGATTTAACAATCATTTGAAGTGTTAATTTTGTATAACTTTTAAGTTTTGTTCTTCAGCTGTGAGTAAACAATTAAATTCATGATTCGTTTTTGAAGATATGGCAAAAAGTTTATCAGAATTCGTTTAAAATGAACTGTTAAACATAGGATTCTAGGTGGAAATTATTTTTTGATAATGAAACAAGTACATTTTTATTACATATTCGAAACATTTTCTAAGGATTACGGTGACGTAGGATTTGGTGATCTGTGTAAGTGTAAGTAAATATTTATTATCTACTGTTCTCTTTAAATAACATTATAACTCCCTTGATACATACATATTTTTTCATATCCTAATTTAGAGAAATTAAAATATTACATAGTATAGTCTGTGTCGGGATATTTAGATGAACTCTCTTGTGGATCGATAACTGTAGGTTCTACTATTGACTCATAACGATAATTGCTTCAATCGTTTCACTAATTTTTTTGCAAAAAACATATATTCTATTATTAGCTCGTGTATTTTTTACTTTATTTGTATTTTTTACTTTATTTCAAGCTATTTTAACATTTTTGACAAGATTTTTTTAGAAAAACATTTTTAACAGGGCCAAGCAGGCCTCGGATTCGGACTCAGTGACCCCAAAAACATATAATAACCATGGTTGCGTTCACCATATGGGATTTTCCTCGGTTTGACCTTGAATTGACCATCAACTTAACCTGACAAGGTCAAAAGGACCTCGAATTCGGACTCGGCAATCTCGAAAACATAAGGATATTTTTTTGTGGGACTGTGTTATTAAAATAATAATAAAATAGTAATAATTTTATATAACTTGATTGAATTTTGATAACAATATGAATTTAATAGTATGAAGGGACCGCTAATGTACCTTAAATAAATAATACTCCACTCCATACTTAGTCATTTTATCTTAAAATTCGTAATGAACTATTCAAATGTTGATCTCATGCAAAAGTTTGCAACAGACCGCTCTTAATTGTCCTGATTTTTTGCCATATACCATTCAGAATTACGTCTACATCGCAGCAGCAGATGTAAACCA